ATAAATTCAATAGAAAACGGAAGACAGAGAGCAACGTGGTAATAAAGCAATCATGGATAAGGGTAAAATATTACCCATCAAACCTAGCATTTGATTCCATGGCTTCGTTTTAGGAGCATTCTCTCCATCCTCCCTCAGCCATGGGTTGATTTGTGCACAAGTATTGAAATCTTTGGCCCTGTTTACAGTTTCGGAGACACAGCCAGAAACATGCAACACTGAGCAAATTACATAAAAAATGTTTTTTCTGTTCTGTGTGAGTGTATAATTTGGAATGTTACAAAACTGTTGTTTTTCACCAAATATCATATTATATTTGCCAATTTTATCAACTAGTTTGTGATGCTTTAACTAGATATATTTGTAAACATAAAATATGTAGTTAGGAAAGTTTCGAGAAATAAGCATATGAAGTGCCAGCCAAACTAGGCTGGCTTTGTTAAAAATGTACACACATCAAGCCATAAAAGAGGTGGAGCACATCAAAACCATGAGATCTCGGCTATATCTAACCATGCAGCAAACCACATAATGAACATCAAAATTTTCACATGTTCATTGTCAATTGATAAAATTGTGCGCAATTACAGGAATTTAAGAACTAACTGATACAATATTTAATTCGATATGAATTTAAAATTTGTTAGAAAACAAAACAAAAGGTCACAAAAATAATGTCTTTTGTATCAAAATGAGTATAACACTGGGCAGTGGTAAAAAAAATCTGAAAATAGACAGTTCTGCATATTTCAGAAATGGGTATTTAAAAACATTGCTCTCTTTGTAAGTTTTTTTCTGATTCTGTCCTCAGCAATGGAGGAGTGTTGCTTCATTCTGGTGCTACTCAAACTGAAGCCCACTCAACAAAACTGCATAAAAAGTTCAAACAAGTACTGATTTTCGCTTTTTGGATTATTCTCTTGTATTCTTTTTGGATGGAAGTAGATGCCTTCTGTTTCTTGAACACATTACACAGCTTGTTAAAAATAACCAACTGAGGCCGAGGCTATGCCGACCTCCTCAGAAGCTGAAATTACATAAAAGATTAAACACTGTAGTGATAAGTGACTGACCATTTCAATAAAGCAACAAATTATTGATGCAAATAAAACACTGGCTGTCGTCAGATATTTGTCATCATATAATCTCTTTATAATAAACATATCAAGGAACCAAGAGTTTGCACTACAAAATATTTTCTAGAAAATTTGACAGGGCAATGGTACAATCCCATTACTAGTGTTCATTCCAGCTCCACAAAAACCATCTTTTGAAATAACAAATTTAGTTTTAAATACAGCTTTCAGGTGTCCCAATCATAAACAATCTCATTTCAGAGTTTGAAAAATTAGATTCATCAATATACAAGTTTTCAATCATATTCTTGGTGACATAGCCTTTAGACAACTGATGTAAAATTGTTACAACTCATTTGCCTCATTTCACCAGTATTTAAACAGTCTTATAGATTACCAAACCCATCATGGCTTCATAATCCTGACCAATGCAATTTAAACAAATATTTATAAACATCAAAGTCAATGTTTTTCTTCTTTTTAGAAGTCTTAGTTTACCAGAAGTGCACATCAAAATAGACTGCAAAGTTCTCTGGACCAATAAATCGGAACATATACAATGGTTGTTAGTGAGGAAATAAAAATACCATCTAATTTTCATCTTGAAACTATTTTAAGGATTTTAAAGATGTTTTTCCAGACTTGCTAAAAAACTAAACAATTTTGTCTGCCTTTTTGTTTTTTACAGGTTTTACTTAATTTTATTTTGATGCCCTCTATATAGATGAGAAGCAATTAAGATGGCTTACATTGTTAATTCACCAATCATCATGCAGAGTGTGTTCAAATTTCAAGTACACAAATGATGTATTTTAAACGTCATGTATACGTAACATGGGATTCTACTGTGGCACAACATGAGGACTGTGGTGCTGTTATTTCAAAATGAACTTATTTGACAAATAATATCTCGTGGAATTAAAATTGCACTGGTCAGTCACTTTCACCATTAATCCAGCCAATTCAGCCTGAGGCCATTATTATAGTAATGCAGTGATAACAGTTTTTGTTTTTAAGGTTATTATCAAATACTTATTACAGCACTCACAAAAAATAATACACACAAAATACAAATTTATGAGGAAAAAAAATAGACAACAAAATGAGACAAACATTAAAATTTGAATAATAAATGGGAAGTTCTACCTAGATTGCAAAACTACAACAGCCTAGAATATAACTGCTCACCATACATCATGCAAATAGTGGGAAGTCAAATATTTGCTGTTGACCAGCAAATCAGAGACTTTCTGATGAATGACATTCAGTATGTTTTTCCAACTAGAATGGTTCTTTTATAGGGAGTAGTCATATATACCAGGTTTATGTCTCAAGATATAATCTCACAATACAACTCTTCAATGCACATATATTGTATATTTGCAAATAAGAAATAAAACACATGTAGTCAATATGCGGAAACAAATCACATGTAGTCATTAGAAAACATATGTAGTAACTATTGCTACAATTCACAACTCAAAAAGTAAAGATGTGTGCCACTCTTCCGAATCCAATGCTATAGTAGAGGCACATGGTCTCTGAGGGGATACAGAAGCTTCTTTTGCTCCTTATGTTTCCGATTTGCCAATCCAAATGTATAAACATGTTTATTGTATTGCTTCTGCACACATTCACTGTAACCAGCCGGTTGTCACTCCCTTCAATATTTGATTATTTAAATAGTTGATTTTGTTTTGAGGTCAAAAACTGGGAAACAAAATAAAAAGATAAATTTTGGTTATTTTTCTGGTAATATTTCGTGTGTTGGAAAATGTTTGCATTTCAAGTCATCAATAAGCTTTTTGAATGATCGTTTCCATATCAACTATCAAATGAAATATTTTATAACATACCAAATATTGTTTCTTTATATTGAATAGTTGCATTAAGAACATTGAATCAGAACTTCCACATAAAAGAAAATAGAAAATCAACATCTAGTATCATACCAAACATGTAAAAAATCTCAACCACAATGTTCACAACATTTGACATACCTATCCATAAAAAGAAAAATTTAAAGCAAATACTGTGCCTGCACACATTCACATCGGATAAAAACAGTTAAATCTTAGTTAATTGTAAAAGTTCACTAAAAAAAAAAATGCTTTTTTGTAAACCAAAGAAAGCACCATAAACACATGCAGCATACAACCATTAAAATTAAAGAAATTTCCTTATAAAAAATTCTCAAAATTCTTTGTATGAAAAAATATTTCAGGAAAAACTGGCCAGACCAATTGGATGTGTTGTTGCATGGACTGATGTGTTAATTATTATTATTACAAAGATGCCTGCATAGTATTTACCCTGTCAATTTATGATTTGATTTTATTGTGCGTGAACAAAAATCACACAGAAAGCCAAATACATAGATTAAATTACAGTTTTAGCAAGCTTATTTTTATTAGTCTGTTCAGATAGTTTTGATATTATCTTGATTATTATAGCATATAAATGGAATGCTTTTGCAGGCAGAAATAAAGCTGGAATGCAACCGAAGAGATGTTACTTTATTTGCATCATGTCGTCGTCAGCACCTATACATCCATGCAACAGTATTCTTGGTCTGGCCCAAAGAACAACTGATTTATTTAGTTAAACTACAAAATAACCTCTTCTAAAGTGAAGTGGTCACAGTGGTACAAATAGTTCCTCTGATATTACTAAGACACAAGTCAGGCCTTATGCATATCATAGTCAGGATTTAAAAAATTCAGTAACTAAAGTTCCATTATCACATTTTGTTGCTGTGATTTCAAAACTAATTACTTGGTGGTTTCAAGATGAATACGATTCATCGAGCACTTTTACAATGTGTTCTCTGATTTCAAATCTACAACAAACACCAGATGTAAACAGCTTCATATCAGAGAACAAACTGATTTGAAATCATCTAATATGATTGCAATCATCACTGAATAAACTCATGCATGGAACTTGTCGTTTCTATAAAAAGTGGACATTACATCCACTTGTGGTGCTATGACAACACTCACCATGGCTACTAAAGTAGCTCATGAAGATGGTGAACAAAATTATCTTTCATGTTTCTTCTACGGGTCTTTTTCAGAATGTCTACAGTTTAGAAGGAATGTGAGCATTTTCAAAAAACACATTATATCAATCAATTAATTAATTGCTAATCACTTCAATTCTCAGACCCTCACAACCATATGAATCACTCTTTTAGGTTACAATCCATTTAACTGATGGAACTGGCAATGACAGGCTTGACAAATTATAAGTGAAATATAGCACTCAGCAATATTTGTAAACTTTGTAGCAAACAAGCTTGAGCTAGGGTAAGATTTTCAAGCAAAAACAATTAAAAAAAATAATTATGATCAAACATAAGTATTTGTACTTGAACATGTGCAATTCATGTTTGGTTGGTATCAAAATACAAATACTGGTACTAATTGCATTGGCAAGTATGTTTGCTTTTCACCATAGATTTATCATGGGAAACAAGCAGAAGACCCTTATTTGTTAAAAGCGCAATAAAAATGATAAGTGTTTTCAAACTTTGAAAGAACAAGTATGCAAAAATAATGCTGCAAAAAATACGATAATCATTGCAAAAAAAAATTCCACTCAAAATGGTGATTCTCGCCACAGTCCCTAGAAGCTTAGGTTGCCATGGAAACAAATTGAGTGACATACTGAAAGCTTGGAGCATACAAAGATGATACAAGTTGCCAGTTGCACCAAAATAACAATTTCATGATAAAAAAATGCAATTGTTGCCAAGACAACAATATTCAAATCAGATGTTTTAAAAGAAGCAAATAGCTTTTTAAAAAAAATGCAATATCAAGAAAATCCTGTCAGTTGTATCTAATTCATCCGTTTCTATGGTAATAAAAATCGCAAGAGTGAATAATTCTGACCCAAACTTTATACATTAATTTGCCACCTATTATTAACTAATGGTACAACATTACGTAATCTATCCCCACCACCTTTTCATAGCAACAGCATTGAGTCAACATTTTACATGTGGACTGTCTCGAATACAGCATTCAATAGATTTTCTCATTCTCGGCGCACTTTTCTTGTTCACTCGCCTGATGCCTCGCGTTCAGCGGCAACAGCATCGATCATTGCCTTCTTCGGGGGCTTGCTTCTGGGTTTTTTAACTGCCGGTGGTTCCGTTGCCGCTGTTGTCACGGCGACGGAGCTTTCGGCCTCAGCCTCTTCAATGATCTCTTCTACTACCTTTCTTTTCTTCACACTTCCTGGAGGCCGACCGCGTCCACGTTTTACGCCAGCCGGCTTCGTCGATGGTGTTGCTGCGCCAGCTGAGGGTTCTTTTCGCTTTCTTCCACGACCATCCTTTTTTTTAGATGTGGCGATTTCCCCTTTCTTGATTTTCAGCGTTAATGAAACTGATGGATCTCCCTCACTTTTCCGAGGTCGCCCTCTTGGTCGTTTGGGTCCTGAGTCGACTTTCGGTGGATATTTCCGAGGTCGTCCCCGTGGTCTTTTCGGCCCACTGGTTTCCTTTCGCGGGAGTTTCCGGGGTCTGCCTCTTCCACGTTTTTCGCCTTCAGCCAGCGGTTGTTGTGGTGTTGGCGCCGCTTTCTTCTTTGTTGATCCGGGCTTTCTACCACGCCTTTTCGGTGGCACTTCTCTTTCTGTGGTGTCAACAGTTTCTGCCATCTCGGTGTCGCCACTTTCCACGGTCTCGGCGCTCGCCGGTTCTTCGGCTTTGTCTGCACTGTGCTGCTGCTTTGTTCTGCTAGTTGAACCGCTCATCCTGCGTTCACTGCAACAGTGACACACACAGACAGCTGTGTTGTGATGGCGGTGTGTTGTGTAAACAAAGCTCTGCAGGGCTGTCTTTTAACTCCCGATTGTATAACCACTACTGTTAGCGCCCAGTTGGCTAAGAGCTGCGTGTAACGCAAAGATTCAATACACACTGACTCGTTCGTGGAGCGAGAGAGAACGAACTACGACGACAACAATACGATCGTTGGTAGCCTTGACCCTCAAGGTTGTTTTCCAGGGTCCTTTGAATGTACCAAAACGGATAGGGAGTTTTGAATACGGAAAGTGGTCACGCACGCAGGGATTTCTGTCAAATTAATTTTTTTAAGACGTTGCATATCATCTTATCGAAAATCCGCATGTATTGTAAATTCGATGAACATTTTATTGGTGTATAGTGTTGTTATAATAAAGTAGAAAGTTAAGGTACCCGCGGATGAAAAAGTTCCGATCTCACCCCAGTACAAGATAGATTCTTCTGACGACCTGACATGCGCATTTTCGCACAAGTTTTAATATGGCGGATGTTGTAGTGTTTTATGGCCCACCGTTTGTTGTGAGTATGTCCGAATACTAGTAACTCCACGTGTGTTTCCCTTCTTTTCTTGACCAGCTGTTGTTATATTTCACATGGGCGATATCCAATGGATTAATGAGAATGATCGTCATAGTGTTTCATTCGCAGATGTCTTCTGCCCCACACATCGTACGGATCATGATCTACAGATGTATTCATCGAGTTTCTCTTGAGCCTCTCTACTCAGCCGATCTAGTGGAATCGTAGACATAATGTTCGAAGGGATTGGGAGTAAAAGAAAGTCGTCAGTGTAGGCGTTTAGTGTGTGGCGATTAGCTGAAATCACCCGATGTTATAACTTATTAACCGAAAATGAAATGAAATTGTACCCCATGCGCGCCAACGCAAATCTTGAAAACTAGTTTCTAATTTCACGAGCTGTTTCCTGTCAATACTTAGAACGTTGTGAACAACTCTCCAGGTGACTTAACAGGGTTCTCAAAAGTACTATTCATGTAACATATATTGTAGTAGATATTACATCTGTATCCAATAATATTTAGCTTCTGAGTTTAATTAAACATTTAGAAGATTCATATTAAACTAGAATTGCCGGAGAAAAATATGTGAGTGGGAGTAGATATTCACGTTTTATCAAGTCTTTGCTCATTGAAAACAGTCCAACATTGAATGTAAAATGCTTAATTTTCACTGCTAGGAATGTATGTGATTTCAGGATTGTGTGACGTTGGTGAAGACAAAATTTCTTGAAAGTTTCTGACACTCCATGTAATAGGACCCCAGAGAATTTTTCACTGTTGTAAAATTTCACAATTTGAACGTCACATAAATTAATCTCTTGTAGCATTAAAATGGTTTATTTACAGTACTACTGATCAGTATTCAGTACCAGCCCTTAAGTAGCGGTGGTTTGAAGTTGATTCACCATGGGTGCAAAGAAAACAGGGAAAAAAATCCTGAATGGGTGATTTCTACAAAATCTAAATGTACAAGGTAGATTGACGAAAATAAAGTACAGTTTAAAGTACACTATTATGAGCAGCACTAAGACCCACAAAATTTATATCTACCGATTTGCCAGCACTGAACATTTGTATTCATAAAAACAGCTGTACGGTGTACAAGCTGCAAGGTATCTGCCCAAAATTTAAACCATTTGAAATAATTTCTTGTAAGTAATAAGAAGGAATGGATATAAACATATTCTTCAAAAAATATCATAGCTTCTCAAATAACTAGTGAACTTGATCAGTTCTTCAAATATTCTGATGAGAAATATTGCCAAAGCAGATTTTTTATGTGATTCAACATCTTAAAAACATTTCTCTGTTAACCAGGTTATTCAGTGAATCTTCTTTAAAAAAAAATGATTTTTTGCTTGCAAATAAAAAAGATCACAATGAATTCATGAATAAAGATTGAAAAAGACTTTTGATGTATGCAAAATGAAAACAAGTTCAGCAACGATATATGCAAAGGTAGAAATAATCTTCAAAACACTAATTGCTTCTAAAGAAAACTGATGACAATGAGAATGTGAACTTGTATATCTACTAATTTTTATGGACAACCCTGAGGGCCCACTACATGCATATCCATTGATTTGGTCAGCACTGAGG